CTTTGCGTGTCCATGCGTGGCCGCCATGTCCTGCGTGGCCATGTCCCAAAGCACTTGAACAAGACAGGCAATCTGGACATCCGGCCCTGGCAGCGCGGGCAGTGGCCCCCTCTGAGCAGCGCGCGTCGTGGTCGGGGAGTCGCCGTCGATCGAGATCGGGCGCGCTGGCTCCTCAGCCACGACCCAGCAGATGCAGCGCAGCAGAGCCGCGCGCTCACGCGCAGTGCTCGTGGCAACTGATGGGTCCCAGCCCGCGCTGTAAGCGTTGTCGAGGCTTCCGCTCGTCGCCCCCCCTGGTGCGAGTATACATCTCCATGCGCTAAAATTATGATCGCTGCCCATGCCCCCCCCTCTCCCCCGAATCGGCACGAGGGGCCGCCCATGAAAACGCGGTGGGCGTCGGGCTCGCGCTGCTGCTGTTCGGCGCGACAGCCTCGAGTTCTAGCAGACCTGTCTCTGGCAGTGCAGGATGTTCGATGCACTCGAATGGAAGAATTGGAACTAGCTGCCTTCCCCCCGCAAGGGCATTCCATTGAAACTGCCCATGTGCTATGTTCGAACTTCCGATCGGCGTGTCGCGGCTGCTGCTGCTGCCCCGGGCCTCGCTCGACCCCTCGGCGTGCGACGATGTGCGTGTATGTGTGTGTGTGTGTGTGTGTGTGTGTGTGTGTGTGTGTATGTGAGTGTATGCGCGTGTGTATGGGGTCGCCCCATATGTCAGCCCGTGCGCGCGGGGATGCCTGCGTCGTTGTTGCAGCGATCGGTAATTCATGTCTAGTTTCGCGTGCCTGATGGCCGCGTCTAAAAATCTAGACCCCCTGAGAATAGACCCGAACATTGGGCCCCCGCTTGGCCTGGCGAGAGAGCCGGGCCCCGTCGGGGCCGCCGCGACCGACGATGTGCAAGCGCCACTGTGTGGTTGAAAAGGAGTGCGCGCTCTTTTGTTTCGAACTACCTGCGCGGCCCCCCTCGTCGAACCCCGAGTCCATGAACGTGCGCCCCTGCGTCGCGACCCTGCTGCTGGAGTTGCCGACTTAGACCTGCATGATGTCTTTGGGTCGTCAGGCTCCTCCACAATTCTCCGTCTTGGCCGTTTCCGAGGGGGGCGATCTTTTGGGGTCGCGGGGGGCTGCTCACGTCCTCACCTTGACCAGCGCTTCCGCGCAGGCCTGGTCTATCTTCTCGACTTCGCTCTTCATGCAAGCGTGATATGTCTTCTCGACATTTTCTTGACCTGTGATGGTCTGTCGCTCCCCACCTCTCCGCCAATGATCGGGTGCGGAACTGAAGCCGTAAGAGCATGACTGAGAGGGTCGGGATCTTCGAACTGTGTGGGCTCCGTGGGGCTGATCGGGTCTATGGGGATCTCGGCTGCAGGCCTGGCCAGGAGCCCCGCTTCGAAGGCCTCTTCGTTCATGTCATATTGCGAGAATCCAATCCTGGTTTGAGACCCAGCTACCTCCGTCGGGGACAAAAGAGGGAAGTCCTGCTCCGCTGGTATCGTAGGTGATGCTTTCTGTCTCTGCGGCGCAGGGGTATCTCCAATCTGGCGCTGCCAAGACCGCTGCTGGTGTACATGGGGCCAAGCTGTTTCCACCTGCAGCCTATCTGGCACACGGAACCTCACGTTCGACGTATTCTGAGCTGGCATCCAACCAGTGACCCAGTTGAGCATCAGGTATTGTCTTCTTGCTTGCCGCTTATTTTTCGGGAGTCCCAAAAGCTGTAGGGGTACCAGCGCTGCCTTCAACATGGCATGGTTGCTTTGGTTCTGATCCACCTGAACCCTCAGCTGTTGTGTGTGACCCTGCTGCGGATTCGGATTGACCTGTGCCCTGTGTTTCTGCTGCTGCTGCTGCTGCTGTACTTCTACGTGCGTCGCTATCGGGACCAATACCTGCTGCTGAACTTGTGTTGCCGATGCCGACTGAACGGTAATAGTCCTCCGATGATCTGTCCATCCGGCACAACAAATCTGGAGCCGTTCCCCTCGTTTCGCATATACCATATACTGTAGTGTGGTACTCCATATTGTCCACCAGCTGGCTGTTGCGTAAAGAAATGTTGTTGCCCAGCCTCCTCCATAGCAACGTCTTGTGGTTCCTCGGGCATTTCGTAATGCTCGTTCATACAACCCTCCAACTGTGCAAACACCGTATCGAGTCGTCCTCCGTGTTGGCTAGCGACTCCTTTGCTTTGTCCACTTTGAAATGTACATATCCTGTTTTATTCTTTCGCCATGGTAAAACTGCTGAACGTTGCCTTCGAGACCATCAGGTCCGTGTTGTCCGTCCGCGTCCTCGCTTTTGTTGGCTTTCCTGGCCAGGATGACTGGTATTGCGAACTTCTCCATTTGACGGTGAATCTCCTGTTTGAAGCGGGGCAACTCTGAGGTCCTGGATGCCGGCGTTCTGTATACTGAGTGTCCTGGCCGCCCTGTGTGGCATGGGCGGCAACCTCTTGATATAGTTTGGGACAGCTCCATGTGATTGGCGTCTCACACTCTGACTCCGATGTCGCTGCGCACCACGTGATTGTTTCTGATTGTAATACTGTCCGCATAGGCGCCGGATGTGCCAGATGTTCATGTCCGTGCTGCATGTTTGACACTTCCACGTGGTGTATGTTATAAAACTGTGATGCCCGTCGCCCGTCGAGCAATCGTCTTGCTGAATCGAACGCCACCAACCATCTGGCCTGATGTCGCCTGGCTCGCTGTTTTCGGTGCCAAGTTTTCTTGAGCCCGCCAAAGCAAACAACATAATACATATACATATTTTCGATCACGGCGCTTGAAACAGCACGCGCCTGGGGTCCGGCCTCTCAAACAGCTGTCAAAGAAATGGTGCAATACCGGTTGTCCTGCAGGTCCTCAGGCCGAGCCCTGTCCTCTTCCTCCTCCTCCTCCTCCTCCTCCTCCTCCTTCTCTTCCTCCTCCTACACCTCCTCCTCCCCCTAGTCCTCCTCCTCCTCCTCCTCTTCCTCCTCTTCCTCCCCATCCCCCTCCTCCTCCCCATCCCCCTCCTCTTCCTCCTCCTCCTCCTCATTCACCTCGCTGGCCACCCCTCTTGGGCGTGCGGCGCCCGCCCGCAGCCGCGCTGGCCGCGTGCGGGCGGGGTGCCGCGCGCCGACGCTCGCAGCTTGACTGCGGAGGACACGCGAGTGCACGCCAAACCCTTCGGGGGGTCTTTCGTTTTGGAGGAGGAAAGCAGAAGGGAATGACGGCGACGAACACTCGAAAGTGAAGCCCCGCCCCAGAGGCAATCCACTCAAGCTCGACGGAGGCGAATAGAAAACCAACCCGTGCATCTGAGCCCAAACTCCGTGCACGACCACGCGAACTCAAAACCAGAAAATGTTTCCATGCCAGACACCCCATGCCGACACGTTGATGCAAAGTGGTCGAGGATGGCCTTGCCATACAATGGTCGCTAATCCACAAGAAACACCTTCCACAGGTAACCCCATTGTGAGACCCCAGGACGTCCATTGATTTTTGGTGTGGGAGCGTCGCGCGTTCCACAGAAAATTAGCCTGGCGAAGGACCCAACCATATGCAGTTGTGGGTATCGCATTCGGGGAAGCCCCGTATGGGGCCACGAAGCGCTGTACTGGGCGGGGGGGGGACGCATGCGAACTGCGCCACTGGGACCTTCGGTGGAGCTCTCTATGGGGCCACGAAGCGCTGTACTGGGCGTGGGGAGGACGCATGCGAACTGCGCCACTGGGACCTTCGGTGGAGCTCCCTATGGGGCCACGAAGCGCTGCCCTGGGTGGGGGGGGGACGCGTGCGAACTTGCGCCACTGGGACCTTCGGGGGAGGTTACCAATGGGGCCACGAAGCGCTGCCTTGGGTGATGGGGGTGGGGTGGGGGTGGGGGCCCATGGAACTGCGCCACTGGGTGCCTTCGGTGGAGCTTACCCTATTGGCCACGAAGCGCTGCCTGGGTGGGGGAACCGGCATGCGGCTGTGCCACTGGGGACCTTAGGTGGAGCTCCCTATGGGCACGAAACGCCGTCCTGGGTGCGGGAAAAACAGCATGCGGGCCCTCAGTAGCCACTGGGCCTTCGGGGGAAGCTCCCTATGGGGCCACGAAACGCTGCCCTGGGTGGGGGAACCGCATGCGGGCTGTGCCACTGGGACCTTCGGTGGAGCTCCCTATGGGGCTACGAAACGCTGCCCTGGGTGGGGGAACCGCATGCGGGCTGCGCCACTGGGACTCCCTATGGGGCCACGAACCGCTGCCCTGGGTGGGGGAAACCGCATGCGGGCTGTGCCACTGGGACCTTCGGTGGAGCTCCCTATGGGGCCACGAAACGCTGCCCTGGGTGGGGGAACCGCATGCTGGCTGTGCCACTGGGACCTTCGGTGGAGCTCCCTATGGGGCTACGAAACGCTGCCCTGGGTGGGGGAACCGCATGCGGGCTGTGCCACTGGGACCTTCGGTGGAGCTCCCTATGGGGCTACGAAACGCTGCCCTGGGTGGGGGGAACCGCATGCGGGCTGTGCCACTAGGACCTTCGGTGGAGCTCCCTATGGGGCTACGAAACGCTGCCCTGGGTGGGGGAACCGCATGCGGGCTGTGCCACTGGGACCTCCATTTTCGTTGGAGCTCCCTGTGGGGGCACGAAGGCGCGTGCCCCTGGTGGGGGGAACCGCATGCGGGCTGTGCCACTGGGACCTTCGGTGGAGCTCCCTATGGGGCCACGAAACGCTGCCCTGGGTGGGGGAACCGCATGCGGGCTGTGCCACTGGGACCTTCGGTGGAGCTCCCTGTGGGGCTACGAAGCGTATGAGGGGTGTGCCGAGAGCAGAGGCAAGGAGAGGGAGGAGGGAGGAGGGGGAGGAGGGAGGAGGGCGAGGAGGGGGAGGAGGAGGAGAGGAGGTGGGACGCGGGGCGGTGTCTCTTCAAAACGAGGACCCAACACCACAGGATGGTTGGGAAAAAACAATCGACACCCAAGAAACCCAGGGCCCCCTGGAGGCAAGCAATGTGTTTCTTGGCATTGGCCTCCGCTTTACAGTCGGACCTAGGCCAGACTCCTTCAAACACATGAGGCACTCCGTCGGCCAAAACAAGCTTTTTTTCCCCGAGCGTCCCACCTTCCACGGGGGGAGGTGGCAATCGAACCCCGTCCGGAAGAAAACAGTCGTCGGGAATCAGGAGGCCGGCCACTCCTGCCGACGTCGCCATCCCGCCGATTACCCCTCGGCGAGCGCGGGCGCGCAGCCTGCAATGGAGGGCAAACCGCGAGCGCCGAGCGTGTGGCAAGCAACCCCGGAGGAGGAAGGACAAGGAGGAGACGGGGGAGGAAGGGGCGAGGAGAACGCGGAGGGCGGAGGGGCCAGGCTGTTCCCTTACTTCGAGATGACGTCCCTCAGCCGCGGCTCGAGGTCCGGCTCCTTGTACATGTCCGACACCGCGTTGCACGGGCCGCGCGTTGCGGTGAAGCCTGCTGCGGTGGGGAACACGACAGGAAATTGGCGGTACGTCTGGACATCCGCGTCGTTGACGCCCACCTTATTGGAGCCGCCCAGGTCCTCGATGTTGACATAGTCGACCTCGGCGAACGCTGGCGACTGCGCCAGCGCCACCGCGGACGCCGCCACCGCGCTAGCCGCCTTCTGGCGGTTGGCGCCAAACCAGCCGAGCACCGCGCCGATGCCGAAGCCAGCGGCGGCGAACGCGATGGCCGCGGGGTCGGCCTCCTCCTCGGCGTCTGGACCCTCCGCCGCGTCCCGCGGCTGCCGTGCCGCCGGTGCCGTAGCACGCGGCCGCGCGCCGCCCGCCGGCGCCCAAAGGTACGACGACGCCGGAGCGGCCAGGCAGGCCGCCAGGCAGGCCGCCGCGAGCGCGACCAGGCGCGGCAAGGCGGCCACCATCGGCCGCCGTGCGCGCAGGGGCGCCCCTGATAGCCCGTGCGGCGGAGTATGCCGCCTCAGCCGCCGCGGCCTTGCGGCCGAATGCCCGCCGCCACGCCCGCCTGCCCGTGCGGGAATGCCCCCACCCGCCCGTCCTTTTAAAAGTTCGCCTTGAGCCAAAAGGGCTACGGAAACCGTCGGCCAAAACAAGCAGAACATCTAAGGGCACCCTCTCCAGGAGGCGCAAGAACATCCAACAAACACGAAAAACACTAGGGTGCCCTCCCCAAACCGACCTCGATCTTATACTTCGATCCGATTCGAGGACTGTAGACGGCACGGGCCGTTGAACGCAGGACAGAGGATCCGCGCGACGTTACCGCTGCGCTGAGGCCGTGCGCCGGGCCCCAGTCTGCCTCGTGGGCGGGGCAGCAACGCGTGATCCAGGCTGGCCTTTGGACGATTGGGAGGCCAATGGGTGGCCTCCCAATCGGGAGGCCACCCAGTGGGATCGCGCCTTGCCCTCGGGAGGCCATTGGGTGATGACGATGGCAACCTGTGCTTCAACGGGTATGAACAAAAAACTACACGTCCGTCGTGTCGACCCCGGCGTTGGTTCCCGACACCGCGGGGACCGTTCGATCTTAAACGATCGGCCGTTCCCGAAACGCCGCCGGCGTTCAACGTTGAACGCTGGCGGCGCAGTCGCCGCTGGTCGACACGACGTGAACCTACCGTGCGTGACTGGTCTTGCTCTCGAGGAAGGGCCACTCGAGACGACGGCGGCTCTCCCCGGCGTTTCCCTGCCCTGCTGCTCAGAGCTTCCTCTGGGGGGGCGAAGGTGCTCTGGGCGCGCGCGGGGTCTGCGTCAGCGGCCGCGCTTGGAGGCTTGAGAGCCACGGTGGCCCCATCGCGCCCGCGCACAGCCCAGGGAGCACGGGCGGAGGGGGCCGCAGCCCTCGGCGACAGCAGTGCAAGACGTACTCGCTCACGCGTCGCCGTACACTCCGGCACCATACCGGCATGGCTCTGATGCACACGATGAAATGACGCGATGCATGCTAGCGTTCGTTGCTAGTTGGCTTCCCTCACTGCTGAGATCACTCATCGTGTGCCCGCACACACTTAATCAGACTGCGTTGGCTCCACGCAGAGCTCCTACTACATCTTCCAATAGGGGGAACGTTAACAGGGTGCAAGCTCAGGGAGGGAAACATGGACCTGGAATCGGCGATACATCGCCGATACATCGGCGATATGACCCGATAGCGAATTCACACGGTCTTGGGTGGGGCGGGCTATCGGGCCCCTACCGGCGATCGACGAGCGATCGGGATTTGATACATCCCCCACGAGCATATCCCCCTCTTAACGTTGCCCCACATAGGGGGCAAACCATCCACCCCCATAATAACCACCCCGACCAGCGAGGGGGTTTAGTAAACGCGCCCATAGAAGGAATCAAACAAGGCAAGGCTGTTTAGTAAACGCCCAGGGCCGTTTAGTAAACGCCAATTGTCCGGTCCGGGTGGTTCTTCCTCCCTTGACCAGATATACGCACAAACATGTATTCACACAGCAAGCCCTCCAGCGCCGCTTGCATCACGCGGCAGGGGGAGGGCAGGCAATGAACGAACGAGCAGAGAGAGAGAGAGAGAGAGAGAGCGAGAGAAATAGAAGAGAGAGAGAGAGAGCGATAGGGATTACACGCATCTCTTTCAACTTCTATATATGTATGTTTATATACAGGTTTATACATATGTATATATACACATTTATATATATGTATGTATGCATATATATGTATACACGTGTGTTTATATATAAGCATGCACACACATATATACATATAAATATATAACTGTATGAAGCCAACCTCCGCCCCTCCCCCAACCGCGTGGCAGAAGCGGTGGCCGAAAGCTGTACCGCCGCGGTGTCCCGTGGCCGTCCCGTGGCGCGGTGTCCCGCGGTGTCCCGTGAGGTCGATAGTGAGATCGATGGTTATATCGGTTGTGAGATGGATTGTTAGATCGTGAGATCGATCGTGAGATCGATCGTGGGATTGATCGTGAGATCAGTCGTGGGATCGATAGTGAGATCGATCGTGATTACGATAATGAGATCGATAAGGAGAGGGATAATAATAACCCTTTCACTTTACCTTCCCACGCCAAGGGGTCTGTGGCTAGCGTCGCTAGCAACCACCAGCTGGAGAGGCATGCGCCAGGCCCCTCACCGCTCGAGACCTACCCCCGAGACCTCAGGAGACCTCCAGGCAGCCCCGAGGACACCCAAGGAGTCTCTTTGCAGGATACCCCAAGGTCGAGGCCCTAGGAGGACCCGAAAGACTCCCGTCCAGGAAGCACGACCCAGGGGACCCCGAGGGACGCCGAGGCCTGAGGAGGGCTAGATCGGAGCGGACAGGCGGCTAGCCTCTAGACAGCGTGGGGGTAAAAACGCCTCGCATCCACGAAGTAGGCCAGGCACTACTATAGGGTGGCGCGGGCGGGAACCACAAAGAGATCTACGAAAGGATGCGGCGTTTCTCGGTTTCCGAGTGTTATGTTACAATCGTCCCGATAACTGCTCATAACCCTTTCACTTTACCTTCCCACGCCAAGGGGTCTGTGGCTAGCGTCGCTAGCAACCACCAGCTGGAGAGGCATGCGCCAGGCCCCTCACCGCTCGAGACCTACCCCCGAGACCTCAGGAGACCTCCAGGCAGCCCCGAGGACACCCAAGGAGTCTCTTTGCAGGATACCCCAAGGTCGAGGCCCTTATGAGGACCCCAAAGACTCCCGTCCAGGAAGCACGACCCAGGGGACCCCGAGGGACGCCGAGGCCTGAGGAGGGCTAGATCGGAGCGGACAGGCGGCTAGCCTCTAGACAGCGTGGGGGTATTCCACGGACTCACAAGAATTGGCACGGGAGGACTCACGTGTCGTGTCTCAAGATCTCACTCACAGCGTACCACACCTGCTCTGACTCTCTCTTGCAACAATTGACTGATAGAGACCACGCGCAAAGTGTTGGATTAGCATATGGTCATCTGGGGCAGGAGTGACCTGGACTATGTCTGCAACCGCCTGCTCGATGTAAATCTTTGCGGTCGTCGCTGAACCCCATCTGCCCCTCATTATCGTTGTCTCCATACTTTGATGCGACATGAAGTCGTACGTGGCACCACCACGCCGGCATGAGTACCAGGAGAAGCGGAAATCCTCGAGGTGAAAGAATGCCAGCAGCTTCTTCAGGCAACTGCGAAGCTGCGCTGGCGACCGTGTGCTGATCGTGTCCGGAGGCGCTGCGTGTACATACCAGCGCTTGACTAGATCTACGGCGATGGGGCAGTCGACAACGACCATCTCGGTAGTGGCTTTGCGGTGCCCTGTTTTGGTCTCAGGCAAGCGGACAGTCACTCTGTCATTGATAATCGCAACTTGCTGCTTGGACAATGTGAACAGCTCCGTGGTGCGCAGCAGACCTGCGAAACCCAATGCTAGGAGGGTGCCGATATCCACAGCGTCGCACTCGATGGCGAGGGCGGCCATCCCCAGAATGAGCTCTGGCGTGAACGGCAAGGCGCGAACAGGCGGTTCGCATCGCCTCCAAGCTTTGAGCAGACTCCATGACAACCCCAAGCTCTGTTTGACAGAGGGGAAGAAGAAGCCTATCGCCGCGACTGCATAGTTGGCAAGGCTAATAGGCTGGCCTTCGCTCCAGAGCATCTCTATGTACTCGGCGATGCCCTCGTCGGTGTCCAGCGGTCCTGAGGGCATGAGGCCTACGGCATCCCAAAAATCGAGGACGCGCTTGGCTGCTGCTCTGTAGCGGTGGAGCGTGGTGGAGGTGACTCGGAGCAGCTTCAACCGAGTACCACGCTTCGCTGAGTGTGCCTTCCTCGCCTTTTGAAGGAGTGCTTGCGGACCTTCTGGGGCTGTCGGAATGGCTGCCCTGGCCCCCCCGCCTTCCACTGGCGTCTGGAGGGCGCGTCGGCGGGGTTGTCCTCGGTCGTGATGTACCCGATGATGGGGTAGAGGCCTCCCGCCGCGCAGAGGGCGGCCCACTTGCGCAGGAGCCATTGCAGCCTGGTGCTGGACGACCGCCCCTTCGTAGTGATCGCTGCCACTACCTGCGAGTCAAACAGATGAACAAACCTGGCGCTGAGGTGCTTGGTGGAGCGAGTCCTCCACAACAGGGCTGCCGCTCCCGCCTGCAGCTCACGGGCGTTGATGTGGAGGTCGATGCTGCCCTGCCACCCCAGCGAGACCACGACTCTCCAGTTCCAGTTGAAAGGGGCTGATGCTCGCCCGCGGCCACGCCTTCGGTCGATAAGGCAGGCCCACGTCTAGGCGAATGTCGCTCCCACTGCGATCACTTAGTGCCAAGAACTCGCCTGCGAACTCTGAGGCCAGCTTCTTGTCGTACTCGGCTGCGCCCTTCGTGTAGGTGCCGACCTCACCCCAGGCCAGCGGGCACGCCCCCCCGCGCGAACAGAGCTTCAGCAGGTAGCTCGCGAGCAAGAAGTCCTCGAGCCAGAAACAGCTGCTGGAGGAGCCAGGAGACCGAATACACTGAATAAGAGTTGCCCAAGAGAAAGCTCCTCGTGTCAGCAACTCCTTGGGCCTCGGGGTCCTTGTGGGCAACCCTTGTGTAATGCTTGTCGAATCCCAGCAGAGCCTCTCTCTCCTCGGGGTTAGGCGTGCGGAGGCTCCCATCCAAATCGTTCCGAAGCATGGAGGTCTCTTCATACCAGCCCAAGTGATAGCGATAACAGTCCTGCTCCCACCTCCTTTTTGCAGCGTCTGAAGCAGAGCGGAGGCCTGCAAACACCGCAAGTCTACTTGAGGCAGGCCGCGGGCACACAAGCGTCGGAACTGGAGCAGCACCGCCTCCCCAGGTCCAGCCAGCAGCGACCCACTGGAGGGGGGCGACTGAACCGCTGATTCGGCGCACGACCTGGGGTGACCCGCTGGGCTGGCGCGGCACCTCGACTGCGAATTCCCCGCGAGTCTGTACGGGCCAGCTGCACCAGTAGTAACGCGGCCGACGGGCAGGAACAAATATAGAGGAGCATGGCTTGACTGGCGGGACCCCAAGCTCCTTCGTGATAGCATCTCTCACTTGCGGACTCACCGAGGCAACATTCTCAACAAAGGTGGCTAGCTTCTCCTTGAAGTGCTTACGAAGGAGACCGTGGACCCTCGGGATCCCATAGAAGAACTTCGAACTGGGGCCAGCCAGGCCCGCCCGCGACAAATTGACTGCGCTGAGGTCCTGACAAGGACTGCCCGCTCCACAGACGCAGACGTCGCACAGGCCGTAGTAGGTGTCAGCTAGCTTAACGACGTCCTTCTCGGAGATCGATCGGATGTCGCTCCAGTCGGCGGTTCCAGGCCATCGGAGTCGCACGACTCGTCTAGCAGGCTTGTCAACCTCGCTGCACACCATGCCGATGATGTCGGCTGGCAGCCTGGACACTGCCACAGCCAGCGCGGCGATGCCGTCGAAGAGGCTCACGATGAGCACCCTGGGCCGCGGCCGCCCCCCTGGCAGCGACGGGGAGCTGCGTGCGGGCTGCAGGTCGCTGCGGCCTGGCCCCAGCACCAGCCTAGCTCCCTGGCGGGCGGCCCTGAGCTGCTGGACTGCCAAGGGCGTGAGGCCAGTGGAAGCGCACACTCCACCTCCAGCCTCCGAGGCATCCGATACGGTGGCGACTGGCGACAGCGCGCCGCCCTAAGGTCGGTGCACGCGATAGGCAAGTACCCGATGCACACAAACAGCTCCTGGCTCATGCCCATGTTGATGCGTCCGCCTCTCGTCCTGGTGGAGAACTCCCATACCGAGTTGAGACAGCTCAGTAGCGGCCGCCTGAACTCGAGGGCCCGAACGGCGCGGCCCAGCAACGTGAGCATAAGCAGCCACGGGCAATACTCGCGGCCCAGGGCGTACAGAATGTAACGGACCAGCTCGATCACCTTGTCGGCAGGGGCCCTGATCGTACCCGCGCAGCCGTCGATGGACGCTCCCATCCTCTCGAGCTGCAACTGCCGTGCGTGGCTTTTCTCCTCCGCGTAGGCGACCTCGGCCTGGGTGTAGGCGCGCCGCATGGCGAGTTGCATCTCGCCTGGGGTGCCCACGACTCGATACGCCTCTGCCGCCTCCAGGACCTCGGGCGCATCAAAGTCATCGATGTAGACCTGCCACCACGCGTGAGGATGCTGCTTCGCCAGCGGCCAAGGCTGATCGCGCCTCCACTCCGTTCCTGCAGGCAAACCAGCTCCCAGACGCGGTGCTCGCAAGGCCAGGCGGCGGTGCAGGTGCTGGAAGAGGGTGACTGCGAGGACCCAGCCCATGGGGATGACGCGGAACGCCACGTAGACTAGGTGGTCTCCAGGCAACCCAGCAACGCTCGCTGGCACGGGCACCGAGACGGCCATTCTGCCATGCCAGGCTGGCGGCAACTTCCACACATAGAAGGCGCCCTTCTGGTCGTCGCTGCTCCACACCATGACACATACTGCTGGCAAGTGGAGGCTGGTCCATGAAGTGGAGGCCGCCAAAGTCGACGTGTCCTCAACGATGTTGCGGAGGTAGGCGTTGGAGGGTATCATGTTGAAGATGAGGCGCGTGCATCTCGACTGGCCCTCGAGTGGCTTGCCCTTCTTCTCGCGAGCGAACAGGCCGTTGAAGACCTTCTGGCCCCGCGGCGCAAAGATGTCCGCCTCGTCGACCACGCCCAAAATGCCGAGGCCAATCAAGTGCTCCGCGACCTCGTGCCAGTCCTCGAGCCTCTCGCAATTGACTCGGGCGCGAGGAGGGTCCAGCGGCCACTCCGCAACAGGCAGCGTGGCAACTTCAGGGTTCATAAGCCACTCCAAGATGTGCTCGTCAACGAACTCCTCCGTCTGGAGCTGCGCGGCATGCTGTTTGTCGGGTAGGCCTGGTATGAGCTCCGCCAGCTTGATGGGCAAGGCCTCGCCCTGCTCCTCACCAGTGTAGTCGATCCTGAGCTTGCTGATCTTCTGGGACCAGTCGATGTCAGGCCGACGAGTCAGCGGGTCATCTAAGAAGCCGTCGACGTGGGAGATGATGGTCTTGTAGGCGGACCGCTGGGCAAGATGTAGCATTGGCGAGTGTCTCCACAGACGAGGGCCACCTCGACCAACGTACTCGAAGTTGAGAGACAGCACCACTATATATGACCAAACTTCTCTGGCGACTAAGCGCCCCTCAATCCTGAACCTCTGACGCTTCCTTCTCGGTCCGTCCTGAGATGCGGCCCATGCTCGTGTGAGCGTAAGGTCGGGGAGGGCCATCGGCAACAGGTCACGCGTCCTTACCTGCGGCCCTCCAGTCGTGGGAAGGTGTGGACGAAACTCACGGCAAAACTTTCCAAGGCGGCCTGGGTGCTGCCACTGCAAGGCGACGATGGCGATGCCCAAGTCCAGTAAGTGCGGCGTGGCGGGTACAGCTCGAGTCACAGCTGCCCTCCACGCGGTCAAGTCAGTGCAGACCTGCAAGTGTTCGGGCCAGCGAGGCTGCGCGTCAGTGTTCAGCGCTGCCTCGCGGCCTACTTCGCGGGTCGGTCCTGTCGCCCGCGAGCCTCCTGCATGAGCTGCCTGAGGCGCATGCCGTGGGCTCCACGCGTCTCGCCCTGCCTCTTCGGGTGGGCATCCTTGATGGCCTTCCAGGAGACCTCCTTCGGCGTCGCCTCGAGACGTCTTCGCGCAGCTGCACTGTTTGTTGCGGCCCTGGGGCAGGGCGGCGGGCTGCTGCTGCTGCTGGTGCTGCTGGCAGGGGTAGATCCTTGACGAGGTCCGCAGGCGTCCGAGGCGCAGGCAGCTGGTGTGCCGCCTTGCCTTGGCTCCCGCCAGTGTGGCCTACAGGAGGGGAGTTGCTCCTCGGCGGCTCCCTCTCCCGGCCTGACCCCTGGCCCCGCTTGAGCTTGGACAGCAGCTCCTCGAGGCGCAGTTCGCCCAGCTCGACTGTGCGCGCGATCTCCTCATCCTCCGTCCTGAGCGCAAGTTGCTCGTTCGAGGGCGGGATGAGCTCCAGCCAGCGAGCACCTGACCAACTCTTGTCCACAGCGAAGAGCTGAAGCGCCTTGAACCGTTGACTCAGCGCGTCCAAGGCGTAGGCCGTCTTGCCCGAGAGGATGGCATCGGCGGCCTCGCAAACTGTCCTCATCTCGCGGTAGACCCCAATCCCGATCGACTTGATGGTGTTCTGAGGGATGAAGACATTCAAGAAGTACTTCAGGAAGATGGGTGGGAACTCCTCCCCCTCCTCCTCACCAACCTGCGTGGTGACGTACTCACTCATCTTGGCCAGCGCCTGCTCCGAGAGAAGACCTGGGAACTTGGCGGCAATCTGGCGAAAATGACCTCGACGAGAGGCGAGACCTCGCGGGGCAGCCCCCTCACTGCTGCCGCTGGCGCCACTAAGAACTGACTACAAAACGTCGCCATTGCCGCTCCTGTTGGCCGCCGCCTCGAGCAACAACTGGAGAAGAGGCCCCTCGCCTCCTGCACCAGCGCCACCGCTCTCGGCGCTCGGAGCCGCCTCCGCTGGGACCTCGGGCGCGCGCCTCTTGCCGGCCCTGTCCTGTGCGACCTCCGCCAGCGGCCGCTTTGCTCCGCCGCGCGCAGGGGCTGCTCCAGCCACCGCCTCGCGCAGCTTCTCCGTCGGCTGTTTCCCCCCAGGGGCTGGCTGCAGCGCCCCGCGAAGCCGTTCGAGCCGAGCGCGAAGGTCGCCAGCCTCGCGCGCAGGGGGCGCCACGGCTGACAGGCGGGCGCCTGCCCCCGCCAGCGGCGAAGCCTGCAGGGCAGCGGGCTGGCGGCTGCCGACGCGCGCTGGCGCCGCCCTGGGGCGCGAGCCTGAGGCAGGGGCAGCTGTGTCCTGAACCACGCAACTGTCGAGCGGCATGCCGAACTCGTCCAGGGCGTCCTCCGTCGACTCGCGAGCCGCCGCCTCTCCAGTAGGCTCAGGCCCGAACTCCTCTGGCCACTTAGCCCAAGAGTCCACCGCCTTGCACTCCAGATAGAACTCCGACGCCTCTGCTGCGTCGACCTCCTCAAACTCCGAGACGTGAATCAGTGTCCCGCGCGAGGCGCTCGGCGAGGCTAGGCGCATCTCCTCCGTACAGAAGTGATCGAGAGGTCGGCCTGCTCCTCCGCGCTCCACGGGATGTGCCATCCACCAGGCCCAGTAGCCGTCGCTGCAGCAGATCTGCTCGGCCCGTGCGAACTGGCCCTCCTCGTCGGGCGGGTAGGCGCCTACAACTTGGATGAGGTACTCACCCTGCGGCCGCGACTCTGAGTCGAACGCCGTGCAGCGATACAGACGGCCCACCTGCACGGGGAGCCCGCGGGCGGCGGCCACGGGCTCCACAGCCGCGAGGTCGGCAGGCACCTCCTCCTCCCCATCAGCGTCCACCATGTCTGAGGGCGTGCAACCTGGACAAGGAAATGAACGGGTCACGCCAAAACCTCGAGGCAAGGTCCTGCTGAAGGAGGGGCGCCTGGACCTCACCCCCTCTCTCAAGAGGGA